TTGCATATATAAATACATACACATACGCATACAGCTATGCATACAAATCCAAATCTCTCCATCCGTCCATCCATCCATCCATCCATGCATGTCTCTCTCTCTCTCTCTCTCTCTCTCTCTCTCTCTCTCTCTCTCTCTCTCTCTGTATGCACATACACACACATAGACACACAGAGAGCCACACACACACACACGCACACACACACACACACACACATATATGCACATACATACATACATACATACATACAATGTGTATATATACACATGTATACATATACTCACATATGTACAGACAGAGTCTGCGTTTGCAGGCAACATGGGCATGCCAGTGGTTGGACAGCGAGGCAGCAAGAACTCGAGTGCGAAGTGGCCTTGTGCCTTTCTGATCTTGTCGGCAGCTATACCCTGCGGGAACATATTCTCTACTGACAATCTGCCGAAGCCTGAACTTTGGTGAGTGCTCCTCAACTACTGAGACGGCCCCAGCTCCTTTAGCCTTCCTTCTCAGCCGAAGGCTTGAAAGCCTCCTGAGTGTGATAATTTCACGAGGCTGCACCCAAGTTTTGTGCCATCCTTCTCAGAGTCTAGAGGAGTCGGAAGAGCTACTGGATAGTATTCCATGTTCGTAGCTTACCTTTGGTGTGGAAACTTTAATACTTTTTTTCTTCTAGGTAGTATATTTCTGTAGTATATGGCTTACAGGGACATATGTCATATCTTTGCAAGGCACCCGATATGTGGCTAGACCTTAAACCCCAAGCCTCAAGAAGCCTCGAGTGCGAGTCGAAACCCCAAACCACGGAAACCTGATCCCCCAAACCCTTGAGTACCAGGAACCCGGCCCTTGAAACCTAAATCTTAAGCTCAACCATTTTAAAAAATACAGCTATGTATACTACATCCCCCTACTCCTATTCTGCTTCTTGCGTGGCGACGATGCTAGAACCATTCTAGTTGCCCTTCTAGTGCAGCGCAGGGCTCCTTTGATGGAGCCCTGAAAGCACCGAACCCTACTCCAATCATTCCGGCCCCACACTGCTCAGACCCGTCTTGGGTTTAGGGCGCTGGCCGGCACCTCAGTCCGTGCTGAAAAGGGCTTAGGGGGTTTAGGGTTTCGGGCTCCGGCTAAACTCGAGTCCAGTAGCAAACAGGGTCGAAGCCCGGCGTCTGAGACCCAGGCCTGGACGCCGAAAGCTCGATTCTAATGTAAAGGGCCTTCATAAGCAGAGTTCCTGATTACAAATTATAAGTATAGTGTAATGTACCCCAAGCCCCATTCGAATTATTAAGGCCCCTACATAAATCATTCCGGTGCAGGTCTTCTATCTGCGCTGGCCACATCTTTCCAGGAGCCCGAGCCTCCCGCAGAACCTCGCCAGCAAGACGGAGAGGATGATAAAAGAGAGCATGTTATCACATAGTACTTATAGTATAATATGGTATGATGTGGTATAATATAGTCTAATAATATTGTATAGTAAAGTATAATATAGTATGGCAAAGAACGGTTGGTATACCAAAGTGGAATAGAATTCATGAGTGTCGAAGAGAACGGCAGCCGGACGACGGATGGCAGTTCACGGAGGAAGTAGGCATGTGGCGAAGGATGCACGTACTTCGGCTCGGTATACCATGGCAAAAATTGACACGGAGAGAAAAGGATAGACATAATTGTTTGATAGGGTAACTAGACAGAACGGGCTTATGTGAGTTCCCTTCCTTCCCGGCCAGTCTGAAGCTCACTTTGAGAGACTGCAGCGGAGTCCTTTCGAGTCCTTTCCTGAAGTCGGGACGGAACACGCAGGGGGTAGCAAGGCGTGGACCCAGACTCGACCCCAAGCCCAGAACCCAAAAACCCGACATCTGAAAGCTGAGGCCAAGGGTGGACCTCCGATGCCGGAGCAGCCACTCTCAGACAATCTGCCATTGGACATCCACGTCACTGGGCTTGATTTAAGCATCTATGTTCTTACTGCCAAATCACATCGCAAGTCTTCGCGAAGCAACGTGACATGGACACTTCCACAATCAGCGTTAAGCAGCCATAGCCGTCATGTCCTTCCGACAGCCTGGTTCTGAGTTGATCCCTGATGGCCCCAATGTCCATACCTGAGCTTCTTGAGACCAATATTAGCTTTGCAAAGGTGATCATCAAGAAGGCCAGCACCCAGAGATGCAGAACATGCACCTCGTGAGCTGCAACGACCAGTGAGGTTACAGAGTCCCAGAGCCCGCAGTCCTTGCAGGCGTCAGGCCCGGTCGGGGGCATCCAGGTGACCAAGCCCAGTGCTGAAGGAGGTGGCGCCCTTGGAGTCGGACGTCTTCTTGAGCAACTGTGCCGGTTCGAAACGGGCTCAGGGTGCGTGCCTAGGTGCTGAGCTCTGCACCGAAATGTGCCTGCTGGGTGTTGAGGCATGAACCCCGCCGGGCCGCCAGAAGCTGTCGCAGCCAAGGCAAGGGCACTCAGCCTTAGCGGTATTCCCTGAAGCAACGCGTCCAACATCCATTAATCAATGTTTGTCTTAAATTTCAGTGAGCAGGGTGGAGCAACTTACAGGATTTCAAATATAATTACAGAAAACATATGTTTCGAATCCGCACTAGAGTCGAAAGCCCCCTCCTCACAAAACACATACAAGTCCTATACCCGGAACCCTCCCTTCAACCCTAAGCCCCTAAAGCCCTGAAGCCCTGCAGGTTATTTGTTTGGGGCTTTCCAGGGTTGTCCTGTAGCCACTGTGCTGCCCTTCCGACCCGAGTTGCGAGAGTCCAAACACCTAAACCCCAAACCCTAACCGTAACCCCTAAACCAGGGGAAAAGAAACACAACCCTTTAAAGCCCAGTCCACGACAGGCCGCCCCGGGTCCTCCTCCCCCTGCGCCGAAGACCGCAGCCGCATCGATGGCGGCACCCTTGGCGCTGTTGAGGCACGGGCGTAGGGTTTCGGATGTAGGGAGACGTTAGGGTTGACAAGGTTTAGGGTTCGTTGTTTAAAGGGTTCAAGAGACCTTGATGCCCCAACCGTTTATATACCCGTCTAGCAGCTCTCCTAGTAACCTTTTGTTTTCGCTCTTCCAGTAGTCAACAAAGCAAACGTCACAGAAGCTCCGAAAGTCAGTAGTCAAGTTGAAAAGCCCCCCAACGTCATATTCTGTGGACTTTTGGCTTCGTAAGACTTCCGGAAATGCCGGTGTACAGCAACATCGTGATGTTCTTGGGAATTCTGGGGCTGTTAGAGATTAGAGATTTCTCGTTTCGGCTGAAGACAGTGATCGGAAAGCGGCACGCCAAGCCCATCTATCTGCTGCTGTGCAAGCTTGAACGGTTTGTGGTTTCCGCAGGTTTGCGGCTGCAGGAATCTTCGAACCGTCAGGTTCATTTTGTACCGTCCCAGTCTGTTACATGACTTGCTTCCTGCCCGGGCAGGTGGCAGCCGAAGCCTCCACCGCGAGCTGGTCAAGCAGGCGCCCCAACTGCGGGCTGCGGAAGCGACTATGCACGGGAGTGTCGGTCGTCGTCGTAGTCGTCGTCGTAGTTAGTAGTGGTAGTGTTTGGTAGTGGTAGTGATGGCGGTGGTAGTGGTAGTGATAGTGTTTGGTAGTGGTGGTGATGAAATCGTAGCGCAGTCGCAGTACTCGTCGGAGCAGCAGCTGCAGTCGCTGCCGTAGCCGTAGTTAAGCGTAGGTTCGGAGCTGGAGTCCGGTGGTAGGGAAATAAAAGGGGAGTTTCCGAGAATGGGGGTACCTTGTTTTGGGGTCCTTATAGAAAGGATCCTATTATTACTGTACAAAATAGGGTCCCCTATTTTCGGAAACTCCCAAATATTCTGGAACGAGCAGACTGTCTCCAATTTGGTTTAGTCCGGCAGGCAGATGCCGGCGCCCGCCGATGGTGCTCCACACTTTCCTCTGATGGGCTCGTCGAACAATCAGGAAGAAGAACCGTTCAGATGGATCAGTCCCGGATTATGAGCTCAATTAGTTGACTTCCCTGGAATAATCACAGCCTCCTCACCTGTGAACACTCGCAGCTGCAAGTAGTGCCGCTGTCCGCGCCCTAGTTCGCAGCCTCAGCCCAAAGAGCGCGCGGCTGCGAATGCCGACTGCAGTGTGCCAGACATGCAGGAGAATCGAGAGAAAGAGGCGACGGGATGGGACATCCTGAACTATGAATATGTATATGCAGATATAGATGCGTAAACAAATAGTATAAGTTCAAAAATATATGTGTATATGTATGTATGCATGTATGCATGTATGCATGTATGCATGTATGTATGTATGTATGTATGTATGTATGTAATTGTATGTATGTAATTGTATGTATGTATGTATGTATGTATGTATGTATGTATGTATGTATGTATGTATGTATGTAATTGTATGTTTGTATGTATGTATGTATATATATATATATATATGTATATATATATTAGGTATATGTATACATGACAGTTTACGTTCACTTTTCTTCGGGTTTGTGGAAAAAGGCTGCTTGGGCGAGGGGTTTTGGAGCCTATGGGGGATTCCCTTCTTTCAGCTTCCTTCGGCCTCCTGCGTCAATATGATGCTTCTTCAAACGTCCGGCCCCAGCCCGTGACCCAAAAAATGGGTATGATGTTCATTGATACACGGATCTCTGCAAAAAGCACATCGTGATGATGTACTGAGGCCTGCTGTGTAAGTTTCGCAGTTATGTTCAGGCGGGCGCACGTGACTTGCCTTGCAGAGTGTCTTGTTTTGGCCCACTCAACCGAGCATAGTGCATGTCACTGGGGAGATATTCGCAGATTCTTCCCTACAAACCTTAAATCAAACCCACAAACACAAAGCGCCTGTGCTCGCACCCACAGGCGCTCAATCATTCATCCAATCAATCAACTAGTCAATGAGTCACTCAATCAATCGCACTGTCGGTCAGTCAATTCATCACTCACTCACTCAATCAATCAATCAATCAATCAAACGGCGAAATCTTCACATATCTTCACGCCCAGGCCTACCTGATTCTCCTGTACAGGCACTCCGGGACCGGAATTTGGGTTTTCCGAAGGAGATCTCAGGGTGCAGGGTTTGGGGATGTTAGGGTTGGGGTTTCAGGGATCTTATAGCTAATTGCGATTGCATAGGGACAGGATTCCGGACCAGTGCAGGAGGTCCACCGTGGGTTTGTTGTTTCGCAGCATTGCGAAGAAGCCCCAAGGCCCAACAAGAAACCCCTGAGACCCTAAACCACCAAATATGCGGAGCCTTGCCTGCCTTGTGCGAGTGTGAGCGCCGAAAGCACCCTAAACCCTAAACCCCTAAAAACCCCTAAAAACCCCTAAACCCCTAAACCCTAACCCCAAGCCCCTAAACCCTAAACCGTCCGAGTGTGAGCGCCGAAACCCTAAACCCCTAAACCCTAAACCGAATGAGGGATTCCAGGGAGAGGTTTCGCTGACAAGTACAGTCACTTTAGGTGTTGTAATACTTTGTTGCTGAAACATAGTGACGAAGCCTCTTAGTGTCGTTTCACTTTGCAGACTCGAACTCATATGCCTCGCCTGGATTGTCCGAGTGTGAGCGCCGATACCCTAAACCCCTAAACCCTGAACCCCTAAACCCGAAACCCGAGCCAAGTTGAAAGTTCCTGGAGGCAAACCGAAGGTTTCAGCTTGAAGGAGGTCCAGGCCCGCCTGCATATATGAATTTTCGGGGGTCATGGTGTAGCAGTTTAGAGGTTCAGGGTTTGGTGTTTAAGGCTTAGGGGTTTAGCACCAAGAAGGGTTTGTTGAGGAGGGGTTAGGGTTGAGGGTTTTCGAGGCTTTTGGGTTCTATAGGTTTGAGGGCTTAGAGCATCTTCACGGGCATGAAGATGCAGAATCACAGCTTAGCGCGTGAGGGGCAAAGGCCAGAGCTGCGGAGCTGTCTTGATCTTCCGAGCTTTTGAGCAGGTACCAGGACTTGCTGACTTGTCAGGTTACGGGTTGAGCCGTTGTTTCTCAGAGAGCTTTGCCATGGACGGGTCGAGGGACAGATAGCCACTCTAAAGACCCCCTACACCTCGATTTCAAGAGCCCAAAGGCTGAATACTGTGATTCTGGGGTTATGTTTTCCGCGCATCCTCGCGAAATGGTTTGCAGTGGCATTGTGATTGATAGCTCGGCGCAGCAGTTTTCGGCAGAAGTGGCATCAGCAGCCGCATGGTTGCAGGAGCCACGGAACTGGACAGGGCAAGTAGGGGCAAGACTAACAGCAATCGCGGCCATGGTCATGATAGCAGCGGGAGCAATACTCAAGCCGGGTTTGAGGACGTTATAAACCCACAGCGGTATTCCCGGCTTAAAATAGTCTCCGTGATCTGAGCAGCCCGTCTTCTTCTGTGAACCTCCTCCCGAGAGTCTCAGTACAAAGAACCCCTGTCTCGACAGACTCGGGTTGTGGCTCCCTTGTACGGAGCACCAGGCCATTCGAGGAATTTGTGGAAGGGAGGCCCCTGGCGAACTGCAGCGGGGTTTTCACTGGGTGTAGAGCTTGTTCTCAAGGGAGGGAGGGAGAGACAGACAGATGTGTATATCTGGAAAGTCATGCTCTTTTGTTCTGTTCTGCTTATGCATGGAGGCAGCCAGCAGGAAAGCTCGTACAGAAAGGTGCTCACTAGCTCGTGTAGCAATCACCCACATGGCACACTAGCAGCATTGCTTCCCGCTAGTCTTGTGTAAAATTGGGATCTGTTCTACGGTCAGGCTTTCGCGTTCAGGCTTCAACTTTCTTTTTCGCGAGTCTTCTGGATGCCGGACGCCACGTTCCGATATGTTCCGATCTTAATCTGATGCAATAATTACGTGTGGCCTTTTTCGGTGTTCTGCTAAGCATTTGTAAGCCAAAACCCCGAAAGCGCAAAGCTTAGCACTGCGCGACCGCGCCATTGCTGCCTGTGATTTGTTTGATCTTACAGTTCCGAACCGAAAAGCAGACTGGCCGTAGCAAACTCAAGGCATGGGGCATTAGGTCCATCCCACCATTCTGCTGTGGATGCAGAACAGAAGGCGTTTATTACCAACTCCGGAGCCGTACACGTCGCTGCATTTGCGCAGACTGTTGCTCCACAACATGCACACGCAGTGCGTGTAGTTTCGCAGTGACCAGCTATGTGGCTCAGAAATGGTGCTCTACAGCACAATGGCCTCAGGAGTATACTACTGATTCTAGTTGGTGGGCCATGCAAGTCTAGGAGAATCGTTTTAATTTTCTTGTGTTTAAACAAGCATAGGGAGGTGACAAGGCTGCATTGCTGTGTCCGAAGCACTCCGGAAGCGCGCGGCTGAGCAAAGCGCGACGCCACGTGGGAATTCGAAGCAGTGTGCCCTGGCTTGTCGAGAGTATCCCATAGCATCGTAGTAACAGTGTAGTAACACGGGCTCCTCAAACCAACTATATCCTACAGCTGCCAGGCATTGCCTACACATATCATATTTAAGATAGAACATTTCATATGCAAGGTTGCGCAGATTCCCAGAACTAGACCTGTAAGAACCGGCTCCCACCCATCTCCGAGTCTGGCTTTCCTTCGATTGCCAATGCTATCAGATTTCGTACATGCCTACATACACACGTTTGTGTGCATATCTGACTACTATATATGTATATATATATATATACGTATATATATATATATATATACAGATTTACCCTGTAATACAGGTATACACAGACACATTTATACACATATGTATGCATAGAGACAGTTGCTTGGTTATACGCCATGACAACAAAGGTTCACCATCAGAGTAAGAAATCGCCGAGGACTCGGACATCGGAGAGCTGATGGAGCTCCATGCACCTCCTCCAACCTGGCAAGACGAGCACTCTTAATACAGGGGCCTGAAGAATTAGTTATACTATACCTATAAAAAGGAACCCCTAAATTAGTATTGTGAAGTATTTAGTCCCCTATAGTACTAGTCTTGCGATCATTGTTCGGTATTATTGTCATTACCACGGTTGTTGCTCCTGTTTGCTTGATATTGGCTGTTAGTCATACTAGCAGGTTGATGGCAAAGCTCATTTGCTACTGTTGCTGCTGTTGTCGTTGCCGTTGTGCTGGTTGTCAACCTTGTCCTTAATTTTGTTGTTGTCATCCTCGTTGTCGTCGTCGTTGTGGTTGTGATAACTCGGGGCTGTCACAGCCGACCACGCAAGACAGGAAAGCCCAGAGCCTCCAGCATGTAGCAAACTGAGCCCTCAGGCCTTCAGGCCTTGCAGCAGTCAAGGCACTTGGGGGAGCTAGAAGTGATTGATGATACTGTCTGTAGCCATAGCCAGTCTTACTTACTCTTGGCGATGGGAGTAGTGGTGTTGTTACGCACTGTTTGAAAGTCTTGAGTCGCTGTTGTCCTTTTCGTGCGTCAGGTAGTGGAGACCGAAGGCATTCCGGAGGGGTGCGTGCTGTCGGTGCGAGCCGGCGCCACTCGCAGACAGGCAGGTCAGACGCAATGCGAACCGTGCGCTCGAAGCCCCGAAACCCAAGCTCTCAAGCGTCGATATCCGAAGTTACCATCCTGAGTGCTGAGCTTTGTGAGGCCCCAGTTTCTTCAGACCGGCCTTTTCGCTTCAACTGCACCGCTGCAGAAGCAACGCCTTTCAAGGCCCGGTCTCTCTTTGTGAGTGCCGCGTACTCGGGTTCTAACTGGCGTTGTCATTCCTGTGCTTCCTTCGGTTGCCACCGCCACCGCCGCCGCTGCCCCGGCAGCATCGCCACTACCGCTGCGACAGCTACTACTACAACTGCAACTGCGACTGCGACTAGGGAGGATAGGCGAACGACCAGGGAGGATAGGCGAAGGAGGAGGACGCCTGCAAACAGGGTTGAAAAGCAATATGCGGATTCAGTTGGAAGTTCAGCTTTGTTTCAGCCTCCAGCCGTGGTCTCCTCGAACTCTTCTACTACTATACTACCTGCAAGATGTCTCGCTATTCTTAGCAAGGCATATAGTAATGTTGGTTTGCAGTAGAGGTGGACGTCCTCGAGCCTGTGGCCACGGCCCGACTGATTTTGCGTCCAGGCCGGGGTCCGAATCGGCTTTCAGGTTGAGGCCTTAGGGTTCTTCGGTTGATGATAGAAATCCTGCATTACCCATAATAAGGAATATATGGGAATTATGGTATATTCCTTATGATGGGTCATGCAGGATTTGTATCATCAACAGTTGGGGTAGCTTAGCAGCTGCAGGTATAGGGTGTAAGCCAGAAGTTGTGAAGACGGGGCTTAAAGGCTTTCCTTGCTATTCTCTGGCGAGGCAGGCTGCCAAGAGAGAGAAGGCTCAAGGTTTGAAAAAAGAGTCGGACCTGGGCTTTGGGGCCACTCTCCCATCTTGCGAGTTTCACAGTTGCCATCGGCGAGACCGGAAGGATCTCGAAGGGAAACCGTAGAGACACAACAGCTGCATCCAAAACCGTAGTCAGATGTGAACTCATTGCAGCCTTGGCCTTTCAGGTGAGGAGAAGCGCGCTGACTGCCAGCATTCCGGCCAAAGATGTGCGCGTGGTTCAGTCTGCTGCTGCATACCTACACAAACACTCTCGGCTCCCCGAAGTTAGTGTCCTTGATGTTGGATCCCAAGGCTTCAAAAAACTCAAAGCCTATAGAGCTTAAACTCCCTATGTACACAGCTCGGCTTACGCAGCTGATGCCTCTCCAACCCGACGTTGAGGCTTTTTGTCAGGGCCTTTACTCACGTACTCCCACCCCATGCCTGTCCTTCGCACACCTTATATCACAGCTCTTCAACCCCTAAATTTAACAAGTCTGCGCAACTCCTATGGCAAACCAAGGTATACCATTCCATTGGAAGCCTCGAACTCTTTCGAGGGCTCCGCGCCGTCCCCACCCGCCTCGCCGCCACAGGGCCGGAGGGCCCAGGAACGTGAGCGATTTTGTTTAACCCTCAGCCACGAGCCGTAACCCCCCCAACCGTTTCCAAACATAAAAGCCCTGAGCCGACGCCGAGAGAGTCTCCAGGTAGGAAGAAAGCTCGGCAGTGGAGGAGTTGCGACTTCAGGAAAGGCTTGCTCGTTGCCAGGACTGCACGGCCTAGACGTGCACGAGGAGTTGAAATTGGACAGGCATCACAGCAATGCCAAGGGTAGTAGCAGTGATCATGCGTGACATGACAAAGGCCACAGTAGCAGTCATCATGGTAGCAGTGGTGGTGATGTTGGTGGTGGTGGTGCTAGTAGTAATCACAGTGTTAATCCCAATGGTTGCACGAGGCACAACAAGAAAAGCGAGAGAAGCATTCACGAAGACGACGACGACGACAACGACAATCAATGACTATCTTCTCAGGTAGCGGGGACATGTTCGTGACCATTGCGGTCAGCCCATCCGACGAAGCCCAGGAGGTTTGCATGCTCTTTTCAAGGGGCTTCTTCGGGTTTAGGGACAGGGCACTGCGCTTTTGGGGGTTTTGGGTGCTGGACTTGTCGCGAATCAGGGTCTGCAGCAAAACTTTGGAGCGGAATGAACTCGAGAACGGGCTTCTGTGTTTGTTGTAATTTTTGGGCTTCGGGTTTAGGGTGTTGCCGGCTCGGAGATCCCCTGCAGGAGCAGCAGCAAGACACCTCTGACAAAGGCATGGGGGAAGGGAGTGTGGCGGGCACTTCTGGTTCTCTTCTTTCACGAAAGAGAGTACATACTGTCGGGGCTGCTGCTGCTGCTGCTTGTTGTTTTCTAGCATCCGGCTCCTCCTCGTCAGGCCCAGGCAGGCCCGCAGTCATGAGGGCTTTCCGAAATCTGATTGAATTCAGCCCCAGCTGTACCCCCCAACATCCTTTGGAAAGTAAGCCTTCGCACGCAACCTATCGAAGACTACGTTTGGACAGAAAGAAGTCCCAAACCGGAGTTCCCGAAGGTGCATACCTCGAAAGCTCTCCGTGAGCATAGACCCAAGAAACCTCCAAACTCTAAGCCCTGTGAGCCCTGAACCCTCAACCCTAAGCCCTAACCTACCCTGCATCGTAGGTTCCTCCTAGCCAGGCGGGAGGCAAAAAAGCCCTGGTCCCTTTTCGGGTCCTTATTATAATACGGCACCTAATATTTAGGGTACCCAAAAAGGGACCCTAATTTTAAGCACCGGATTCTGAAGCCTTGGCAAGGGAACGCGTCCGCGGCCTCACGAATTGGCCAGGCCGTGGCACGGGAACTTGGGAGCAGCCGAACCTCTAGCAATACGGTTTAGGATATCCCGGGTTTAGGGTTTAGGATATAGGGTTTACGGTTTAGGATATAGGGTTTAGGGGTTTAGGATTTCGGGGAATCAACGTCCGGCCCCAGCCCGTGACTCAAAAAAAAGGATTTCGGGTCAAGGGTTTTGGGGGGATGATGGTGCTGATGATGCCGGTGACCACCACAATTAGCATGACGTTGAGAGCAGGGGGGCTTCACATCATCGGCAGCCCATCCAGACAAAGAACGACTCTCAGACTCAGCA